GAAGCAAATACAGCAGGAAATTTGTTGTGACAATACCATAGAGAACAGAATGGTTAGAGAATTATTGCAATCCTGTCCAGCCATTTTAGTCAACATTTTGTTGTAAAAGATGACATTCTTCTTCACTGCAGATGCCACTCTTCACACAGCTTAACTGTGTGCTACTGTGCTGAAGATTCAAACACTGTTAACTGTGCCTCGTAGGAAGGACACAACGGTTTATTTTCCACAACTTCCAGTAAAAAAACTGTAGGAGATAAAATATGCAATAAAAGCATAATGGTTTAAAAATACACCCTAAAAATACAGGAAATGCCAAATTTAAGATCATGCAGGCTCTATGTGTGTACATGCATCATGCTACTACAATTGCACACTCTTGTTTCCTCCAGAGAAGCCTGATCTTCTTCAGTAATTAGGACAAATGTATGAAGAGGCAGAATAATAACCACTTGTGCAACAGAAACCTGGAACTTGCCAGTGATTTAATTCTACAAATTTACAGTCTGAATACCATTAATGGCTTTCCTAATATAAAAAAGATTTTAAACAGTAACTCGAGAAAAAAAATTACTGAAATACAATATATTACTGCATTGCTATGGCTTTCTACCCATTAATACAATAAAATTGCTTTTAAAAAGACAGATAATAAATTAAAACTGAACTGGAAGTATGAAATCCACTTTTTTCCAATTAAAATGCACATGTACATTATAAATCAGCCTGTATATTACTAAAAATTTCAAAGTTTAAATTTTTATGCTTCTTTAAAATGTCCTGATGACTACAGAATTACATTTGGGAGAGCTGACATCCTTTCAAATGGTTACTCACAACCTTTCCGCATGCTGCATGCTTTCATACAGCCATGCCATTCAGAAATGGGACGATCTTCTTAACACAAAAGCTGAATTTTTTTTCATTTTGCACCGTTTTACACAACATCAATGCATATCAATAAACTGTTAAATACGTATGAAAGAGTATAAGCAAAAAATAAGCAAAAAACAGTTAGTGCCAGGTACTTGTCCCTGTCATGAGATACCGGTCATCATTTTCTTTTTTTGGATTCAGAAGTTATGTGCGCATTGACACATCACAAAACCAAAATTAGAATTCTATCCTCAAAAATCCTATAAACTAATGACAAAACAACAAAAGCTAAAGCAGACAAAATAAACATTTGGATGCAGGCGGTTTTGTACACGTGCAAGGAGTACTGGAATACACCTTTATTTACAAGTGACATTAATGTAACAGATTTACCTTGTACACATGTAACGTACCAGCCAAGTACAACAGGACAGCTAAACCCAGTAACTGGCATTAGGCAACTTTTATGCATCCTAAGTAAGTCACTAAACATGAAGAACCACCCACTGAACTTTCCAAAAAGAAAACATTGACTGAGATGACCAACAATGACACACAAATCTTCCCTTTCCCACTTGTCCACCACCCGTATTTTGGGATGCATCCATTGTACCTACAAACCAACTCGGTGCTTGCAAGCCTTGCTTTGTGTAACAGAGTCTGTTCGACACACATGAAAATTCCAACATTACCGTTGCATGTTTAGTGACAGAATGCCATAATCTTGGTAACCTAAGAAACTCCTGAAATGAAGCATCCGGCATGTCAACTAACTGTTCTAAAAGGCAAGCAAAGATGGCGCTGCAAAGTTTATGCTACCACAAACTCCAGTTCAAATTTGCTCAGTTTAGAATTAAAACATTTTCTACCTGGCTTAAAGGACCATACAACCAAATATTGAAAATCAAGCTCTCCTTCTCACTTACTGCCAATAACAAAGAGTCATCACCAATAACAAACAGTCTGTTGACCAGCACCCCCGGACAGGTCTAAGGATTAGCTGGGTTATGCAAGTAATTAGCCAAGGTTAAAATAATCAGGTACTGAAATTACGAGCAAGGACATTTGTCCCTCCGTCTTTGTTGAACAGGGGACAACAAACGAAAACTCGCATCTAGTTGTGCTTTTGCTGGGGGCAAGCAGCAATGTCACCAGCAGTTTTGTAAAGCTTTGTCCATATTGGGATCACTGCCTCTACAAAACTACTCCACAAAACTGCCCCTACTGCTCATCAGGCAAGACACCGCTAGCTTGCACCTGAACTCAGGGGCTCGGCTGAACTTTAAACACCAGAGCTATTAAAAAATTTTCACTTTCCATGTGCCTGGAACATCTGCCATGCCATTTTTGTCATTTCCTTTTAGAATAGACACAGTATGTAACACGAACTGCAAAATATATGCTTTAGCAGTATATCCTCAACGTCTTTGCAAACCAGTTCAACAAGCAACCTATTTTCTCAAATTCCTTTAATTTGTCCGCATGCCCCTGTGACTCATGCAGTAGCATCAAAATTGCTAAGGAACCCTGTGGGAACTTATCCCGCAGGGATAACTTATCCTTAACACTACCTTTTTGTTGATATTTTAATACAAATTATATCTGAGTGGACACTATATAATATCAATCTTTCTTTGCTTAGCTTACTCTATGAGTGTTTCTAAGGTTTGTGCCACAAAACACAAACAAAATTTGTAATCACAATCGTGATATAGCTGAAAATGATAATTTTGAAAGGACCTAAATAAGCGTTTCTTTTAAAAAGTTTGGGATATTGACAATTTCGAAGAAATTCACCATATCCAACTCAAAACCTAAGCAGTCTGGATGCAAAGTTTTTAATCAGTCAAGCACATCACTGACATTTAATGATGCTGTATCAATATTTTTGTGCTTACAGCCACCTGAGTAGCTGTTTTCCTCATCAACTATCTCTGTTCCTCATGAACACATCCATGTCTCCATCTGTGCCTTGCTCTCACCCCAGAACTCAGCTTTCCAGAGATTTAGTAAAGTTAAGCAATAGTGGACTAGCAAAACTCATTTTTTCCACCATTATTCGATCTTTAAAGAAAAAGCATGACTGTGTGAAGAAAATGGGGAAAAACAGTCTGCACTTACCAATATTTTGAAAACAACATAATAAATTTATTTAAATCTACTCTGTACGTTACACAAACCAGTACCAAATACACACACAATCAATCCTGCAGCTCTTTAACACAAGTGTGCTCAATTAAGACTGCTGCATTTCAACTATTTAGTTCATTTTTAATCCTAATTTAAACCGAGTACCCTTCTGTCATTTAAGGACGACCTCCTAGTATCTGTAGAGATTGGGAGTAGATTTGAAAATGCATCCATGCACACCCACAGAGTACTGTGTAACAATTTGCAAGGCATTTCCACCTTGTCAGGGGAGCAAAAAGCTGTATTTCCTTATGACAATACCTCAAGTAAGGAGAAGAGGGCTGCTGAGGTATCACTGGTGATAGGGCAAGTCTCAAAACAAGTTTGAGACTGGCTGCAGAATGGGGATTCCCAGTTACCACAGCCCAAGGCCAAGCGTGCATGGCCCAGCAGGGAGCTGGTCCGTCACAGCCACCAGCATGACCAGCCCAGGCGCTACGCCTGGGAACCCCTCTTCTAAGGCATATTCATAATACACAGAAGTGTTTCTCATTGGCAGAGATACGCTAATCTCTTACACTTACAAAAGAATTACAGATATTCAATTGTCTTTAAATGCTTGCATTTCTTTCACATTCTCACAGACCACAGAATTATCAGTGGTTCATACCTTGTCAAGTACCATGCCCCTTCCTCCCGCCTCTTAATTGGAGAAACTAAGGCAGAGGAGCTAAAGAAAGGGTCTTGGGAACCCACCTGCAGTCCTTCACCAGACCAGGAATGCAAAGGTTGGAAAAAAAGAGCACAAGTAAAATTATATTCTTTATTCATTCAGTTTTAGCTGTGAATAGTCCTATTATACAAATACAGTATAAATTCCAAAATCACAATATATTACAAAATAAAAAAGTACAAACTGCATTACTTAATAAATATATCTAACAAGTTAATCAAAGTAGGAGACAGAATTCAGATTGGAAACATTCAAATGTTTGATCCAGCAAACCATACAAATCTAATTTTAAATACTTTTTTTTCCTTTTAAACCACAATGTAGAATACCATTCGTGATTCCTTGTTAGAAAATAACATCACGTGAATAACATGTTGTGATCAGATAATGATTTGTTGGTGGAACACCAGTGCCAGAAAAGAAGCAGGGCTTATACAAAGGACACCATAACCCCAGAAACAAGAACACAAATACCGAGGTGCAGCCAAGGCAATTATTGCCAAAGCGGGAGACTATTATCTAGTCACAACATTCTATTGCAAGTTAATGTTCTGTTATTACAGATAAATAATATAAATGGAGCAGAGGGTGAGCCAACCAGGCAACAAGAGGCCAGTTTACTCAAAACAGTAATTAAATACAGAAGAGTCAATTGCTCCCTGCACTGTTCATGGGTAGCTGCATTCCAACCGGCTCAAAGGACCTGTTCTGTGCTCCAGGCAGAGAAAGCAACTGGTTTGAAAAGCAGTCTGTTCATACTTTGCTGCACTTTTACAAAAAACATTGTTTTAGTTTTGCAAGAAAATACGCACGATGCTTTTTGGGGAGGGTCAGTTTGACATCAACTTTATCTGGTAAAAATATAAGGTTTATGGGTAGAAAACACAGCAAAAAAATAGCTGTTACATCATAAGCCTTATTTACAAAAACTGTTTACAAATGGTTTTGGCTGTACAGCTGAAAGCCAGATACTAAAGTAAGATGCAGAAGATGGAGGTAACAGTTTAAAAATCATCTGCTTGCAAATAATCCGAGGCTACGTTTTCACAACAGAATGTTACAAACATGTTAGGATTTATCCCCCACTTTACAACGGAATATTACAAACACTTTTGGACTTGCTCCCCCACAATCGACAGTCCTCCTCAGTCCTGGGGTGCTGTTGCTTCGTCAAGGATTAAGGCATCACCGCCGCAGCCAGCACACCTTCTGCCTGTCCCAGTCCCTGCAGCACAGCTCCCAGCCCGCGGCCCCGGCGGTCTCAAGAGCAGGCGTTCTGCTCAATGTACATCTTGGACAAGGAGACCGCCATGGACTTGGCCAGCTCCTCATCCCGCCGGCGCTGTAGCTGAGTCTGCCTGCACCACGCCTCGTACTCCGGGTTGGGGCACGGGCGGTCCAGCACGGCATCGTAGTGCCCGTTGCTAAGCCAGCTCAGCCAGATGCTGGGCCGCGTCGGGTCCTCGGGCCCCAGGTAGTGAACCATGGTGGAAACGGTGGGGCTCTCGGGCCGGCCGCCCGTGGTGAGGTGGATGTTGACGTTCAGCATCTGCCCCATGGCCAGCAGCTCCGGGTACCCCCCCCAGGCCCCGTCCTGCGCGGCCCCGATGAGGAACTCTCCCACGTCGCCCTCGATGATGGGGCTGAAGTGGTCCAGGTGGTCGGCGATGTAGTGCACGGTCTGCTCGCGGAGCTCGCCGTGCGGCCGCTGGTCCCCGTACACCGCCTTGCAGACGGCGCGGTAGAGGCAGTTCCCGTCGGGGATGATGTGGAAGCGGAACCGGCCCTTCTCCCGCAGGTACCCGTCCTGCTTCTCCACCTCGGCC